GTGAGGCACCCCGCTGGCCCCGCGGGGGGGGGTGCACGAGTGCCCCCCCCCCGTGCTCCCCCATCCCCCGCACAAGCATGTGTGACCCCCCCCGTGCCCCATTTTGGGCCTAGTAGGCCTCCCTGAAGCCTTCTGGGAGCAAAAACGGGGCAAAGGGGGTTCAGCCCCCCCGTGGCCTGTTTTTGCTCTCATGAGGCTGCAGTGAGATCTACTAGGCCCAAAATGGGGAACATGGGAGGCCGAGCTGCACCCCCGTGCTCCCCCTGCTCCCACACATGCACAAGGGACCCCCATGCTCCCCTGTGCATGCGCATCTTCTGCATGCGTCCTGCCCTCCCCGCATGCGCAGCAGAGACCTAATAATCAGTGGGCTGGCGGGAGGCACGCGAGCATGTGCGGAGGAGCTGAGCTGGGGCGATGGCTCGCATGCCCGCAGAGAGGGCTCTGCATGCCACCTGTGCCATTAGGTTCGCCATCATGGTCCTATGGCACGCAGGGAGGAATGGAGAAGAGAGCCACGTGGGTTGCATGGCTTACAGGGGAGGAAAGGGCCCTGATTCCCTTCATTAGCCACACCTGAGAAGATAGTTTATAAGAGAAGCAGGCTGGGTGAGGCACGTTGCTGGGAGCAAGCGTGACTTTATCTTGTGCTGTCGTTGTGTTCTTGGCATTCTTCCCAACCGTGTTGTTTTATTCCTGTCTGGAATTCTTGCTCCTGCTCTGCCAAACTAATTACTTCAGTTTGGCTTGATTGGACTTTAAGTTACAGTTTGTGTTGACCACATTTTGGACTTGATTCTCTGCAGCCAAAAGCTATTCCCGGGAGAGTTTTTCTCCAGCCGAGAAGGTAACCAGGACCTTGGTGGCAAAGTCTGGAGCTAATAAAGTGATTCCTACTTATTATGTGGCTGTGTTGTCTTTGTGCCACACCCCTTTGGGTCATCACACCTTGTTCTGCCAGCGCCCACCTTGTTCGCGCCCACCTGTGGGGGGAAGTCTCACCTGCAAGCTGTCAGGACAGCCTTATGGGCTTGCAAGGGGCAGCCCCCCACCTGCAAGGTGACGTCGGTCAGGATCCGTCGCTTCCGCAGCTCGTTCAGGTTGGCCAGGATGTCACTGGAGTGGCGGGTGAATTCGCGGACGTAGCTGGCGGAGCTGGGCTGGGCCATGGCTCCTGGAGGGTGGGAAAAGGGGAGGGGGGGGACTCTCAGGCCCATGTGCCGCAAACCTTGGCAGCTTTAAGATGGGTGGACTTCCACTCCCAGAATTCCCCCAGCTGTTTGTTTGTTTACTTTGCTGGAATCAAGATCTATTACATCTTATTGCATTGCCGCCTTCTATTAAGAAAGTTATCCGGTCAAAAAGATGTGACAAAAGGTCATTTAGCCATATTTCTATGTTCAGGAGACTCCAACCTTGGCAACTACAAGACCTGCGGACTTCAATTCCCAGAATTCCCCCTGTCAGCTCTTATTTTTTAAAAACTTTGCTGAAGTATAGATATACTGAAGTATATATTACGGCATTCCCACCGTCTATTAAGAAAGTTCCCCCAACCCAAAATGCGATAAAGCAGGTAGTCTAGCCACATTTGTTCCTGCTGTATTCTGGTAAATCTTTGCTGGCTAGAGCTGGAAGGGACCCTGGAGGTCTTCTAGTCCAACCCCCCGCACAAGCAGGAGACCCTGAGACATTCCGGACAAACGGATGTCCAGTTTCTTCTTAAAAACCTCAAGATGAGACAGAGGGATAGACGCAGATAGACAGGCATAGATTTATAGATAGCTAGAAAGAGAGAGAGAGAGAGAAAAGAGGGAAAGAAAGAAAAAGGAAGAAAGAGGGAGGGAGGGAAGGAAGGAGGGAGAGAGAAAATCAGAGGGCTGGAAGGGAACTCTAGAGATCTTGTAGTCCAGCCCCTGCTCAAGTAGGAGACCCTATGGATATGGATAAACAGACAGATAGACGGACACAGACAGACAGGCATAGATTTATAGAAAGAGAGCGAGAGAGAAAGAGAGAGGGAGGGAGAAGGGAGGAAGAGAAAGAAAGAGAGAGAAAGAAAGAAAGAAAGAAAGAAAGAAAGAAAGAAAGAGGAAGGGAGAAGGGAGGGAGGGAGAAAGAGAGAGAGAGAAAGAGAGAATGAAAGAGGGAGGGAGGGAGAAAGAAAGAAAGAAAGAGAAAGAAAGAAAGAAAGAAAGAAAGAAAGAAAGAAAGAAAGAAA